GGCGCGTCACACTATCCCTTTCTTTGAATAAATTGAGAACCTCATTTTTTTCGTGTTTGAGGAAAAAAAGCCAGCCTTGGCAAGCAGCTGAGCACTCGTGCTCAGCGACGCAAAAGCGGAACAGCGGAGGAGAGGAAAGCAACAAGAGAAGACGCTAGATGCGGCAGGTCGACCTTGGACTGGGCATACAGTAGCGGGCGGTAAAAGCAAAGTGGGCTTTGGAAAGGTTTGGAAGGATGGACGGTGCCGGGGCGGGAGCAACATGGCTGGCCACGGGAAGGATCTGGAGGGGTTTGGAGGGGTGAGCATGCATTGGAGTGGAATTATATTACTCAACTACTGCAAAAGCAAGGGCAAGGCGAGGCAGCGAGGCGGGCGGCCTGGAGGCGTGGCGGACGGTGGGAGGGAGTGCGGGCGGCGGCGGCGGGTAAAGTGGGTACAATGCCAAGGCGAGCTAGCGTGGCGGGCCTGAGGGCGGTGGGGGGCAAAGTGGGTTTTGGAGGGTTGCGTAGGTGTTTGTGGGGCAGCTCCTATAAGGGCATGACACATTACGGCTTATTATAAGAGCATGAAAGTGCCCGGACACGACTGCTTGTGGGCCCAAGACAAGTTGCCCTCAGGATTTTACTCTCCCACTTTTTGCTCCCAATTCTGAGTCAGCCACATACTTTTTCTTCCTTGTAGGTCCGGTAATAAAAATACGAGTCTTTGTGAGTTCATCAGAGCCGCGGATCATTTCATTCCTTTGGTGGTTGCAACTTATTCACCTTATGGCTTATGCCCTCGGGAGTTGGGCTGACAACAATCCGGCTTGTCTTTCTCTCTTGTACAGCTTCGCTTTCCCCAAGTCTGTGCTCTGCTCCGGAGCTCTCTGATTGCCAGCACACGTCAGGTGTCCACCACGACGACGACCACGAAGACAAATACAATTACAACAAGTACAAGTACTTCAAGGACACAGCTGGCATCCGCTGTAGACATGCTGATCATAAGCTGCAAAGATTGTAGCCTGATGAAGCGAACATCCGGACGAGAAGTTGTCAATGAATAGTCTAGGTACGAGGATCTTTCGAAGTGCTGTTGGTTCAGTCAGTGTACTGCTGCACATCCATTGGCATGGTAGCAGACAGAATTCAACTTGCCGTGCAGCTCTACGTATTCTACGTCATCCACAAGCAGCTCGACTACGACCGCGACCACCAGCTCCACCTCAAGCATCAGCTCGACAACGTCCATGACGCAGACAACAAGTACTGCTACGACACAGACAATCAGTACTAGTACCACAAGGCCCGCTGGCATTCGCTGCGGACATGCTGATCATAAGCTACAAAGATTATAGCCTGATGAAGCGAACATCCGGACGAGAAGTTGCCAATGAAAAGTCTGCATAAGAGGATCTTTCCAAGTGCTGTTGGTTTAGTCCGTGTAGTGCGGCACATTCATTAGCATGTTAGCAGACAGAATGCAATTTGCCGTGCAGCTCTACGTCATCCACAAGCGGCAGCTCGACTACGACCAGCTCCACCTCAAGCAGCAGCTCGACAACGTCACAGACAATCAGTACTAGTACCACAAGGCGCAGCAGCACCAGCAGCAGCAGCAGCAGCAGCAGCAGTGCCACCACTACGTGCAGCGGGACTGGTACTACCAGCAGCAGCACTGGCACCGGCACTACCAGCAGCAGCACTAGCAGTGCCACTACAACCAGCAGCACTGTTAGCACCACGACCACCAGTAGCACCGCTACTGCCACTACCATCACCGCTACTGCCGTGACCACCACCAGCACGGTTACCACCACTACCCGCAGTACCACTACGAGCAGCGGCACTAGCACTGGCACCGTGACTACCAGCAGCAGCAGCGGCAGCGGTACTAGCAGCACGAGCACAACCACCATCGAGGCGAAGGGCAGGAGAGCATCAGAGTAAGGAGCCATAAGTAGTTGTGAGTCCTGCACAGGAATCCGACTGCCTTCCGCGAGGCTTTGCTGCAACAAGGGCTGCGGATTGCAAACGGCGAGAGTGTTCTGTTTGTCGTGGGACTTCTATCTGTGACTCACCTGAGGTCTCGGGCTCAGCCGTTGTCCCCTGGCTTGTCCAGACGGCGAAGAGCGCTGCTACCGACCGAGCAACTGGGACGAAGAGGACTTCGGTGCTACGCGGATCGAGTCAGCGTCGGGTTTCACTCATGTTTTCTTCTAGGATGCCTTGCCCCTGCCCCGTGAGTCAAGCTGACGGAGGAAGTTACCTACAGACAGTAGCGGGGACGAGTAAAAGACCCAAGGGTTGCCTTACCCTGCCCGTGCTTGGTGAGGTTTTGATGCTCAGGGCAATCACCTACCCACAGAGGAGACTTGTGAGCCCTGGCAGAAAGAGTCCTCGCAGGTTGATGCTTGCATGCCACGCTTGGAATGTCTTTGCTGCTGCTGAGTCGTTAGGTGCCAATCGGGACCTTGTGCGGCTGCGGACAGGGCTCCTTCCTGTGCGGCTTCGGCGTGCCGCATCCTCATATGAGCTCCGACTTTCATGTCAGGGCCAGGGCGAACAGGGCGAATCGGAATGCCTACCAGTGCAGGGAGGTCGGCGGCCGTCGTTGTAAATCGTTCCACCAGTTTGCGCAACAAAGCCCGTGTGCTGCTGGTGTGCGCAGGCTACTGTCCCAGGCTACTGTCCCGCCTGCTCACCTAACGAAAGCCAGTGCCCGCTGGTGCAAAACTTCTTCCCGGACGGCACCGAAGATCGAGCCTTGGCTGCCTTGGCACCTTCTTGTTGACAGCATGTCATCCTACGCACAGCTGCGTGCGGCGTTTGGGCATCTCAGGCATGGTGCCTCCCAGCAGGCTGTGTGCCGGAAGCTTGCTCGACTGCCCGTGTGGGCACGCGGCGACCATGTGTGCAGCCCTCAATCGCTGCATCTTCCAGGCAGAGGGAGGGCAGGGAATTGGGCTGGGGTAGTTTTGACAACTTTCATTTCCCACATGCACAGCCCCCACCAGCTGGAAGCTTGGCTCTGCGTGGGTCTTGCAGTGCTCTTGCCGCAATCGATATCATAAAATGCCGGTCGTTTCACTTGAAGCATCATCCCAATGCGCCAAAACATCACAGGGTGCGGCATGCTGCGCAATTGATGAGAAGACGTGTGTCGTCGCGGACTACGCTCCTGACGGGAACATCACAGGCAGGTGCCCGAGCGCCAGTCGGTACTGTAATGTGCGGCGAGAGTTGTAGCAGGCTCTCGAGAGATCTGCTGGGCATCGACCGCACCGTGTCCCTGTGGTGCAAACACAGAGCGCTGCCCCGGAGCAGACCTTTGCCTCCCTGCGTCACCAAGCTGCCCTGAAAAGCTAGGGATCCAACAGGGCTTAGCTGCGTCTTGACTCATTCCTTTGGAGGGTGTGCTCACGTTCATCGGTCTCTAGCTTCCTCTATGTGGATGTGCCATCAGATTCGTCAGATGTGGCAGCCGGTAGGACGAAGAGTTCAGGCGGTGTACATGCGCTCCATCCAGAGCCACTCGAGTCTCGGTGGCGACATGTTGTGACATTCTTGGGAACAGTGTCCAGCAGGTTGCAGAAGGCTGCCGTGTGCCCCTGCGAGCATTGGCAGCTCTACGGCAAGAAGGGTTGTGTGCGGAAGTGGCGCAGTGTTTCCTCCAGCTTTCTCTTAGGCAGAAAGCCTGCGAGATAACGGAGTACAGCACGGCAGGCCAGGACCTGATCTGCATCCTGCCTGCCTGTCTGCCGCACTGTCTGCCTCCACAGAGGCATACCAGAGATGACCTGGAAGCTTTGCGTGGACAGGGAAGCGCCTTGTCCGTGCGGCCAGAATTCGCAGATGGCCCAGACGACCCGCTTTCGGAATGCCTCCTTGTCCCGGCCATGGCAACTTAGGCTGCGCTGCCCAGACCCACTGGACCCGGGCTCAGTGCTGGCTTGAAGGCTTTCAACCTGCAGTTGACACTCTTTCAGCAGCTGTCTTGTGGTCACTGTTTCCAAGGATGCTAACGGCAGACTGTGCGTGGCAAACGTCATCAGTTGCTTGGCTGACTTGCTGGTGACTGGGCTCCAGCACATCCAGCCCAATCCAAGAATCCAACCCGCCTGAATCTGAGCGGAGCCGTCTCAACAGAATCGCGTTGCAGCTGTGACTAGATTAGGCAACGGCGGCATCATTGAAGTGTAAGAACTCAGCACCAGTGAAGTGCAACAGCTCCGCCCTGCCCTCAAGACGTTCACCTGCGAGTCGCCCGGAGACGCCCAGGTGGCAGTGCAAATTCATGTCCGACGCCGTGCTCCCAAGAAGAGTTGGCTCGAGGCAGCCAGACCTGCGTGCAGCTTCCTGGCTGCAGCAACATCAGATGCGCTTCGTTTGGCATGGCTAGCATTGCATACTGGCCTACTACATCGAAGCAGGCTGTTGTAAATGGTCCCATAGCTGCCCCCGTAGATGGCCTTGGCACTGCATCCCGGAAGGGCATTCTCATATCTCCCCAAGCAGAGTGGTGCTCCTGCGCCCCGTCCATCCCCGTCCAGAACCTGCCTCTGGGGAAACAGGCTCGCCGAGGCGCCAAACTCACCGTAAACGACAGCGCTTTCATGCTCTTTCGCGACTCGCGCTCGTGTTTGGGGTGGCAGCGCACGCTTCCGCGACATTCGGCTCAGTGCCGCTTGCGTTTTGCATCTCGAAGCGCTGGAAGCCTCCAATGCCTCCAAGTCGCATCAGAGACAGACCTTCGTCTGGCGCGGTTCTGCAGGGATTTGGAATACTTGACATCGTGGAACGCGTGCGCAATCGCAGCACGGCTAGGATGAACGGCCGCGAAGTTGTGGCAGGGCCATGCTGTATACGGAGCCCATGCCCCAGCTCATGAAGTCGTAGCAGCCGCACTTGAGCTCCTTCGAAGTTCATGAACTGTCGGGGCAAAACTCTGAGCATCTTGGGCTTCACCACGGTTGTCGCAACTGCCGTACTCGTACGGCGGGGAGGCGCCCTGGCGTAGTTCTTGGACAGCTGTTGGTGTGAGTGGTAGTCGACCCGCGCGAGGAGGCAAGGAACTCTCCACCCTGCCTTATGCTGCCAATGCCAGCCCGTCCAGTAGCGGACCTCCGTTGCCTGCACCTTACGATCTGGCAGGGTGGGTTCGCCAATCGTGCCTGACACCCGCCAGACGTGTCCCATCATATCTTCTGGCTGGGTCACGCCAGTGTTTGCGACGTGGCTTGGATCATGTGTGTATCGTCGTCCACATCATTTCGTCTCCCTCCTTGTTCTCTGTCACGGTCTGTGCTGGCATCATTGGACAGTTGTTCCCCGAGCCATCACAACTTGTGATACTTGCACATTAATGTAAAATATGTAAACACTTCAACTTCATTCGGGAAAGCAGACAGGAAGCAATGGACACTCCAGGAAGAAAACGAGTCCTGCTTCGGCTGCTATGTGTGCTGAGGATTGACATCCTCTCCGAGACGCTGCACATCCGAAGAACAAGCACCTCATACGAACTCTCTTGATGGGCTCCGCACTTTCAACCGTGTTTTGAATGGGGTATAGTCGGTATAGTGATGGATCAAGCATTCCATTGCCCATTTCTTGAAGGCTTCTGCTGACCACCACATCCGCCACACTCCTGGATCTGAAACTCCGGTGGTTTAAAAGCTGGTCAGGTTGCCTGCCGTTCGGCCGTTGCGACGCCGGCATTGGCATGAAGAGCTGCCAGGGGCCCGGTGCGTTCTGCACCCGAAGCTGCGTGGAATCAGACTCTCCTTCCTTGCAGGTCCCTCTGGCGCCGCTCTACCTGTCTGGCAGCCCTGTCAGCTCGGCCGTGCTTCCAGAGGTAACACCAGTGTTGAGGCGCTGGAGGTTGCAACGGCGAGCCTTGCCATGCACGAATGGGAAGGACAGGGGGAGACGTCTTGGCGAAGTTGGCTTGGGAGGGGGTGCGAAGAAGCTCGGGCCATGAAAGCAACTCAGGATCATACCGATGGACCGGCCAGACCCTTAGTGCCTGAGCAAGTATTTTGTTCTACGATTCTACGAGGCAGTGGAGTGTGGCTGAGGTTGCAGCCGGGTGCGATGGAGTCTTTAGCCGCGGTGGGACTTGAACTCCGATTCCTCCTCGAAATCCCAAAAGAGCGCCTTCGGTGACGTTTAATTCTCAAAGTCTGTTGAATCGATGTGGTGTGTTCTTTAGTCTTGTTCACTCCCTGAATGTGCGCGAGACCGCAGCCTATGACTAGAAGTGGGCGCAAGTGCGAGATCCACAGATCCAAGCTTCATCTGAATCTGAATCCTGCTGGTTATGCTAGGGCGCCAGGTTATCTGGCCTTTGAATGGGGGGGGGGAGGGGTGTTTCCGTCTCAGGATGACAACGGCCACCAGTTTGAATGTGTCAAGCAAGATCCTTTCGCTACTCGGCCGTGTGATGAAGCTCGTAGTGGAGTCAGCGTTCGCAGTCCCGCCTAAGGTTTGCAGTCACCGGCCCGGCTCGATCAGGACTGGCAGGGCCAAAGCCGAGAGAGCTCGCAGCTTCTGCTCGAGCATGGCCAGGACAGCTCGGCAGTGCTGAGAGGCGTTTGCTGGGCAGTGCTGAGAGCAGCCTGCTCGCATCAGAATCGCAGCACAGTCTGCCATGCGCCCCTTCTTTTGATGTCTAGGCACCTGGGAGGATCCCAGCGACCTCATCTTGCGCTTGAGGGACAAGGCCCAGGGAAGTGGACGCTGCTTGAAGGTTTGAAGGTGATGCTCCGGACATGCCGGCTTGGTGTTCACAGGCAACTCGCAGAAGCCCCTCGTTGTGGCAAGTTCTGGACCCCGTCGGTGTACCTCTCGCATGCTCCTCAGGAACTCCCCAGTCGCTGAGCAGAGCTGTAAGCTGTAGTTAGCTTGCATCTCCTGAGGCCTTTGCCAGCATCAGCATTGACACCCAACACGTCTCGAGGGTTGCCATCATTGAGAAGGTGACAGGGCCCAGGGCGGTGTTGTTTTAAGTGAGAACCCAAGAACCAGCGCAAACCTTGAACTGCACACTCATGGCGATGGCTCCTATACTACGGGGCACAAAAAATCCAAAAGTTGCCAGGAAGCTGACGGAGTTGGTCATGTCCAGCAGAAGCCAAGAATGAGCAGAATGCTCTTTTTCCTGGCAGGAAGTGGACGACAAGGAGGCCAACCTGCCAATCGCCTGCTTTTCTCTGCATGCAGACATTTCGCCCTTCCAGCAGCGAAAGCAAGGGTAGCGAGACTAGCCTTGTGCCTCGCATCAGGTCTTGAGCTGGCGACCTTCGTTTCAATACTTTGCAAACTGTGCAAGTCGGCTGCCAGGCAGATGTCGTTGTCGTTGTGGTCATAGCCTCGCTGCCCCTCAGCTGCAGAGGAGGGCACTGGCCGGGCTTGTCCAGAGGTGCTGGAAATCATCGCGACTGGTTGCAATTGCTTGTCAAGGCTTGTGCTTTCCAGCGGTGCTGCCATGGATTAGAAGTCTCATTTAAGTCTCGCAGCTGGAGGAGTCGGGTTAGAAGGCCCAGCCACCGCGTCGATGCGAAGCCGGGCTTGCACCAACACGGACATCAGCTCGCGCTCCGACCTCGTCGCCGTGCGCGTTGCCGTCTGGCCACCGAAAAAGCGAGAGTTCGGCAGAAGCCCCACGGACGGTCGATGATAATTGGGCATGCGAGCCCAGTCGAACACGTCTCGACCAGAGACGTCGCGGTGCTGCGCATCGGCACCAGCTTCAAGAAACATTCCTGAGATGGTCCCCTGACCTCTCATCGCCGCGAGCGTGAGTGCCGTAAATGCCTGCGCCTGCGAACACTGCCAATGCACGTCCGCACACGGTTATACCCAAACGGCTTTCCCCGAAGGTCCCGCAACACCACGCCACTCGCCTTCCTCGAAGGTCCCGCGGCGCCACGCGCCTCCCCAACACGGCCTGCGACATCACGTGACACAGCGCGCGTCCCGCAAATGCTTGCGAACGCTTCGTGAACGCTTCGTGAACTCAAACACGGCTTCTGTCAACTCCCGGACCTCTGGACCCCCACCTTTAAAGCGAGAACCCTTCTGCTACGCATTCGGGACAAAGTAAAAAGTCCCTCGCTATGCAAGAACCGCTGCGGCTGCTGCATTGGACTTACGACAGGGACGACTGGAAACCCTCAAATCTTGGGCCGTCGGGTTGCTCGGGTTGGTCGGGACGGTTCGGCTGGGGCAATTGGTCCCCGATTCGTCCCCCCCCCCCCCGGTTCACGTTTCTTGTTGCCGACTTGCCCCGCACCCTCCTGCACCATAAGGTGTTCGACCTTGCTTTGCATGGTGCTGGGCTTTGGTCTGTTCAAGCGGTTCATGAACAAGTGCGGAAGCTTGGACAGCATTTGTTTACTTCATGCGTCAGCTTAGTTTGGCTGAACAAGGCGAAAAGCACATGCATGCAGACGGCCGGGGAAGACTGCCGTTGGGATTTCATGTCTTCAGCTTGCTGTCCGAGCTATGACAGTCCTGCTGCTGATGGCGGACAAGGTCCGAACAAGATGGGTGCGGGCAAAGCTGACTGCACTCAGGATTTGCAGGACATTTGCAGGGCTCGCGTGTAGTCGCAGGGTAGACACCCTTTGCTGAGGTACGTGGGTTTAATCTTGTCCAGATGTGTTACTGTGTTACGACAGCAGCAGTCGTGAAGCACAACAATCATTAACCGCGCAGGCGCCGTGCGTGCCTGCCTTTGCGGGGCCCTAGAAGCTCTAGTACGGGTCGCACCAAGCCATTTTTCAGGCCCAAACCCCTGAGCGAGCAAGTCCAGCCTCGACCTTGAACAGCATAAGTTGCGGTGCTTGGCAGGACATTGCCCTCAGTGAGGCGACACAAGATGAGGATGAGCATGTTGACGAGCCTTATCGGTACTTAAGGGGTTTAGGGCAGATCCACGAGCAGCGCCACAGCATATCATTGACAAAATGAACTGATGTCCACGGGTCCAGAAGCTTCAAGGGGGCCCAAGAGAATCCCCTTCCAAGGACCAGCAAAGCTACCCCTCGCAACACCGTGACGCGTCCGCCTCAGCCGTGCATCCCATGGAATTTTTTTCCAAACCTTCCAATGCTGCATATCTTATGGGTTCACGGGGTTGACATTCAAGATTAAAGATGTAGTCTACCCAACTAGGAAGAGAATAAATCAGTGTCGCACTGTTTCAATGTGTCTGTGTTCCAATACGATTCCCCCATACCTGCGGGTACCAACAAGTTACATGCATCTTGCTGATGTGCAAGTGGATGCGAGTTGGGCATGTTGCTTGAGAATAGTGTCCCTGAAGGGGGGGGGGAGAAATTTGGAGAAGCTTCAGCTTCGACAGCTCATAAGCCCGTGTCTGTAGTTGCCTTCTAAGGCAACGGCACGAGATTCGCGCCTGAAGCCCTGAAGCCCAAAACCCGAAGCCCACCACAGCCCACCAAAGCCCTAAAACCTGGATTGCACCCTTTTCAGCTGCCGTGCTGGGGCTCACGGACTCCAACATTTTCCAAAGGTCTGTCAAACTGTTTAATTTGGGCTCCAAAGTATCAGAGGATGCAAAAGCCTCGATCTGTTGGCGAATTCTCCAGCGGCGCAAACCATTCAATTTTCCCAATTGCTGAAGTGAGCTGGCGAAGAACCACGTCGGGTCGACAGGGAATGTATGCCATGTATGCCTACACGTGCCCAAAAGATGCTCGATCAACGTGTTGCACGCCACGGCTTTGCACGTGTTCAAGCAGCCACGTGCCGGACGAGCTATGCTTTCGCATCAAAATAGAGCCACAGACACGGCTCTGAAGAGTGTGAAAAAGACCAGCAGAAAGAGGAATAGAATAACCTTTGAGAGCACGGCAGGCAACAGCCGCAAGGACAGGAGGTTCAGAGAGCTGATTGTTCGTACGCTGCGAAAGCAGTCGGCAAAGACCTGAGCACGCTCACCAAGAGCGATGGGGGCTTGCGCCGGTAAGCTGCGTTGCGAAAGCAGCTTGCGTTGTTTAGCCAGGCGATGGCGACTAACTGCTTGAGCAGTGGATTCAGGAACACCCGCAACTATTCTCTTGGCCCAGACACGGATCACTGAAGAAATTCAGCACGCCGGCACTTGCTACCATGCAGGGTAAATGGCCTGATGCCTCTGCTTGGCACCTATCATGGGTTCCGAACTATGGTGATAGTGGGCCAGAGCCACTCTGGCGCCCTCGCGAGCCGGATTAGGGCTCTTTTCCGGCCAGTAGGGGCCGTTTTTTTTGCAATCCCGCTGGACCTGAGGTAAAGCGACACACCTTGGATGCAGCGCCTGGAGGGCAGGGTCCACAATGAAGACGGGGACAAGCAAGATCATGCTCGGTTCCAGAATTGGCTTTCACCATGTGCGACCCGCTATCTGCTTCGCTTTTACCATTCACCAGAAGACTTCAGACCCAGCAGAAACGTTGTGTTGGTTGGTGCGTTCTGTCACTTGAGGCCCACCGCAGGAGAGCGAAAGCTGGGTAGTGAATAAGGGAATATCGGAGTGGAGGTGAGTGAGAGTCGACGAAAAGACAAAATATGTGCATCTATCAGCATACGATAGCCTGTCGGTCACTATGGATCTCAGCATTTCTACTGCGTGTATCTAGAATCCAGCTACAACATGATCCATCTGTTTGTCTGTCTCTCCGTGTCTCTTTCTGTCCGCCTGTGTTTGTGTGTGTGTCGATGGTTTTATATCTATCACATCTATGTATCTGAAACAGCATATGTATGCATGTATGTTTCTATGTCTCTTTCCATGTACGTATGCCTCAACTCATTAATGTGACTATCTATCCATCTGTCTATCTATCTCTCTGTCCGTCTGTTCGTCTGTCTGACTGCCTGTTTGCTCGTCTGTCCTTCTGTCTGCCCATCAATCTATTGTATCTATCTGCGTATCCATCTGTCTATCGATCTATGTGTTCAACCCATTTATCTATTCATGATATATACATCTATCCACCCGCACATCGAAGCCACAAACTGGTGGTTGGCAAAAGGGCAACGTCTCCTCTCAAAAATATCCGTTACGCGTGGCATCCAGCTGTTGGCTTCTCCACCTGCCAACCAATCACAGAGTTCACGGAAAACATTCACGACTTCAACGTTGTGACATCCCAAAACTCCCATCAGTGCTACTCACGACAGGTGAGGCTGGCAGCCTTCTTTGGGTCCACTTGATCCGCAGCACCAGACGAAGATAGGGCAACATGAGTGCCAAAAAGAGAGGCTTGAGACCCACTGGAGGGCCGACCCTCTGTGCCCGGCTCAACAGCAACATGTGCGCCTCTTCTGCCTTCATGACCAAAACCACGACAAAAAACCCAGAGATCGTTGCCTCAGAGAAGGGGAGCGGCAGGCTGCTCTGCTTCTGCAGCAACGCCCTGACAGCTCACGAGTCGCCAGTGTGGCTCACCTTTGTTCCGGGGTCCCACACAGTCACCTCGCTTCAGGGCAGAGGCCAAGACGCTCCCGACACCCCCGCACGGCCGCGCGGCCACAGCCTTCGTGCAGTTGTCAGCTCCGGGCCGGGCCCCCCAACCGCCCCGTTGGCGGTGTTCCCGTATGGGCAGGACATCACACGGAATCCGAGCCGCCTCGCTGCGTGCCCGGATGGACTAAAGATGCTGCACGTGGCGTTTTCATAGACTGCACAATGGCGGTGAGAACAGAGAGGTGAATAGGAGCCGGCCGAGCGGCCTGTTGTGCAATGGCTGGGTCATCGCCCCGGCCAGTTGATCCCGCGGCTGCAACGGAATCTGGCCTACGCACATTAGAGCCGTCCACCATGCGACCTCAGGCTGTCCTGCAAACCCAGCCGTGACTACCCAAAGCTGAGGTCCTTGCTCATGAAGGGCCTGTTCCAGCTGAGCGGCGGAGGACGGATCCCTGGGAAGGCCAGACCAGTAAAACTGCACATGCGCAGTGAGAGCATCGACTAGAGTTTTAGCCATGATCTCAACGCTATGAACGTGCCGGAACTCAGTGCTAACTCGACTCTGCACTGCCTGCCACAAAACACGTGTGTGCGTGGCTAGAGGCTTATCGGCCGCCCCGCAACCGGCAGCAGTCGGCTTCGCTCCGGACCAAGCCATTGCCTCTCAGCTTCGAATGTTGGTCCTCCCCCAAAACCCTTTGTCGCCGACTGGGTGCCGTTCTTCGATTTACAATGAAAACGGGGCTTGCCTCTAACGGGAGCGATCCGTTCGATGTCATGCTGTAAGTCTTTCTTGCAGCGTGACCTCTTTTAGGGACCCCAAAAGGTAAGCATAAGCATTTTATATGGATATCCCTACCTTATTGGGCTTCCTCATAAGGAGGTTTATATGGGATATCCCTATCCTAATTTTTGCTTATGTGCTTTTTTGGGGCCCTACTCTTGGTCCAAAACAGAGCGAACGTGAAAAGAGGCACCACGGCGTCACGGCGTTGACGATCGACTTTAGAATTTGGACACCATTTTTCAGAACTGGGAAGGAAATCCCCGTGCTAATCTCGCAATCCATACAATTTTCAAGATACGTGATACCGCGATACTCAAGAGGTTGGTCCGGACTTCGTAATTGCTTTAAGTACCCAGTCGGTGCTTGCCGCTCGGTGAAAGACTTTACCAAAGTATAAAAACAGTTTGAGCAAAAAAGGCTTACAGGGAGCCAGAGTGAAATGGTGACCTTTAAAATTTGATGGATGCAGTAGGTACTCAGGAGACTCCTCAAGGGAGGCGTGAGGGTCCTTATGTGCAGGAAATTCAGGCTTGCAGTCCGGGCAAGCGGCGTATGTGGGAAAGCGACGGGCTTTGGCCAATTTGGCTCTTTCAAGAGAAAATAGCGAGCAACATATGCTGCCGCTGCAGAACACAGTCTTGCAACTCAGTGTAGGCTTTTTTGGCTGCAATGAAAGCTGCATCACAATTTGAGTTTGCAGCATGTTTGGCAGCAAGCGCAATGCAAAGCGCAGTGCAGCGATAGAGAACGTTGCGCTTGGGACCTTCGAGCATCTCCAGCGCTGCATCCAAGGCAGAGCCTGGTGCTGCAAAGACTAAGCAGACCGGAGAAGTGGCAGAGGACGGAAAGCGTGTAACAGATGTTTGCTGGCCCATCACCTCTACAAGTTTTGAGACAATTGGAGGTCATCCTAGCTAACTGCCGCATGTTTGACATACGTGTAAGGCATCGCATGTTTGTTAAATTCGGTTGGGCATTGCTCGTGCTGGAAGGCCGAGAAGGCGTGGCTTGCGGATCTGGAGGCAGCCACTGGTGCGGCCAAGGAAGCGGGTGTCTCGTTCGAGCCAGTCCAGGCGGAACTGTTGGAAGACAAAGCTGACAGCCCCAAAATTGAAAGCCCAACCAGCCCCATTCCCAGCCCAAGCCATGGCGGTCTGATTGACACGTCTCGCCCAACGCCAATCGGGATCCAAATATGCCAAGCCTGCGAGAAGATCTACGGCTTCTTACAGGAGCCTGAAAGGTCCAATGGAGATGACCTGTTGGAAGACTTGTGCCGCACGGCCAAGCTGGAAGGAGCATCACCGGACCTGAAGAACAGCATCTTTGGCCTCATGCGACCCGAGGATATCAAGAGCTTCTTGCAAGCGCCGGATCACCAGTTCTGGCAGCAAATCAAACAGAACACGGAGGAATTCATCAAGCTGCTGGAGGATCCAGGAGCCGCTGTGCCCTATTCAGTCGACGAGATGACACCAGAGGCAAAGAACGCAAAGGTGCGTAGCATTCGGCCAGTTGTGATGGATCAGTCCGTCAGGGAACCAGCCACCAATACGCCCTTCGGCCACACAGGGTATCAAAAATTCCTGACGCTGCAAATTGTCAAGGGCATGGGCTTCAAGGACATAGCCATCAGTGGCCAGTATTATGGTGCTTCCTACACCCCAGAGACCCAAGTGCTCGAGTGGATGAAGGTCAAAGGAGAACCGATGGATGGCATGATTGTCATGTTCGCACCAGGCAGGGGTGATCGAGAGGCTGGAATCAAGGCTATCAAGGATTTCGGCATCCCCAATGCTTTCCTGGACTTGACCATGAAGGCAAGTGTGCGCTTTAAGCAGTCCGATTTCATATCCTCAGTGCTGGAGACTGTGGAGATCTTGGATGAGATCTTCACTCGTATGGGCTTCGAACCAAACCCTTGGCGCAGTGAGGAGAAGATCAACTGCGACCCAGGCAGAGGAGAGATCAGTGTGAACCTGGTAGACCTGATGGAGTTTCTCGACCTGAAGCCTGACGGTACCATGGATGACAAGAAGAAGTCAGAGGCAGAGGACGCTTTTAGTACCTGGAAGAAATCAAACGCCTTCAGGCGTCGAGTTGTGGGAATTCTGACAGAAGAAGGGCGAGGAGTGGCCAACTACAAGGACTATGGTACCTTGTCCAGGTGGTTGCGGGGACACTTCCCACGAGATGAGGAATATCGAATCTTAGTCCATGCCCATGCTGGTGATGGAAATACCCAGGACGCTGCTAGCGTCGAGGCGGCACTGGAAGGAGCAAATGGGGTGTGGGCGGCAGTCATTCCACAAGCTGCTCAGTCCGGGCACAACTCCAGCATGGTCTTCCTTGACAACATGGTACAGATGGGCAACGGGCACGTTTTGGCAGACTTCTGGCTCCATCAGGGCGCTCAATGTGCCCGTCACATCTACTACCTGAACTTCAACAGCTATACCATCCCAGACGATTGTCCCATCTGGGGAGCTAGAGTTGATCAGCTGCTGCACACGGCTTTCAGCACGGTTTCAGGAGAGGAGTGGCGGCAGAGACGCGGCAAATATTATGATATTTGGGGAGATGATGCCACTCGATTTGGAATTTAGAAGCATTTAGAGCGCAGTTCTGTCTCAATGCCCTTTTTCGCGAATCACATGCATTATCAACAACTGTTTGCCTTTTCTCCGTCAATGTCTTCTGTTTGTTGGCCTATATGTTTAACACTTTCAACTCCCACTGTAGCTTCACTGCTTGATGAGTTTGGCCGCAAGGAAAGAGCTCAGATTGGTCGAATGACAAAAGCCACAGATTTGCAACGCAAAGTGGCGATGTGCCGGAGCCTAGCCCGTGGAGGAAACTACCGAATCTCTCCACTCGTGTCTGATGTTGAGACATGGCGAAAGCGCATTGTTGAGCTCGGACTGGCTCGGCTGCGTTCGTTTGACCATGTGGGTTGGAAATATGACCCGTTGTTTCTTCGTCATTATAAGATGATGTGCACCGTCATGGTTGCATGAATTCGGGTGCGTTCCCTCGCCAATGTGAAGCTGAGGCAGGCGTGGTTGGACCTAAGGGACGAGCAGGAGATCACGTGAAGGAAGTTCGAGACCTTGGCTTCGCCCTAATGAACGCGGATATTCGAGCAAACATGAACGAGCAAGCCACGCTAAAGCAGCTCTGGGACATCGCAGCACGCAACAAGACAGAGAAGATCAGGCCAGCTTGGCAAATTTTCCATGAGGTTTCTGACTTTTTGTAAGCACAAAGTGACCGCTTTCTCCACATGCACTTTCCTAGTTCCTGCTGCCAGGTGTGACCAGGTTGCTGGATACTTGAAAGCTCAACAGCACCAAGGGGAGAAGGAGTAGGGCCTGAGCATGGAGTTGTTTCAGCGCAAGTGCTGAGAGCCAGGGGCATCCCAGTGTGCGATTCGTTTTGCAGAATTTTGCCAAAGGCAAATCATGTCAAAAGAATGAGCAAGGCTTTTGCAGATATCCAACGGGTTCTTGACGCAAGTTTATTGCATACATCTTTACGTTTTCTCGGAAACTCACAGGTTTGCCAAAGGCTTGTGGGTCAGCTTTGATGTAGAAGCTGTTGAATCGTAGGGGTGGGAGGAAGGATATACGTTAATAATTATACTACAAGATATCTAGAACATGCTACAATATACTATAATATACGATAATATACGAAAGCATACTACAATATACTGTAACTTGCTATAAGTAGAATATACCACGGCTCCCGGAGCTGAAGCCACTCTGCTGAAAAGCCGAGTCATTCCAGAGCCCCCGCAGAAGCGGCAGATTCCGTGTACAGCCAATAGTGAAACTTTTGTCATTCCTTGTATCACTCCAAGTATAAATCCTCGTATGCTATTGAGAATCTCGGATCGTGCCGGGCACCGGAAGTGGCAGCAGTTGATGTGAGAAGGGGAGTGCTCTAGCCAGTACCCACCAAAGTCCCAAAGGATGAAAGCGGCTTTGCAGATATCCGACGATTAGGGATAAGGGTTTAGCTTTTAGGGTGTAGGGATTAGAGTAATTAGGGATTAGGGTTTAGGATTTTAGGGGTTTAGGATTTAGGGCCTAGAAACTAGGCATCAGGGTCTAGGATTGCAGGGTTTAGGGCTCTGGGACGTTTACAGTCAATAGAAAAACCTTTGTCGCTCCCTGTATCACTCCAAGGAGGAATCTTCGTGTACCATTGGGATCTTAGATCGTGCCGGTGGGTGAACCCTGTAAAGTAGATGATCTGGCTTCGAGGGCCCAGGTCATGCAGAGATGTCCATGGCAGAAAAGTTTACGGGGCACCAAGTTGCACAATGTCTATCGAATGTTCAAGACCCTGAATCTGCCAATAGCGCCAGAGGTGAGGAAGCGGCACCGCGTACCATCAAGATACACCCTCGCTCCTATATATCAGGCGGAACACTTTCAGCAATTGTTGTGGAGTAGTCTGTATAAACGCTAGGAAGCTTCGCGCCTTCCGGAAGATGCTTCGGATCCCACCACAATCGCCCATAGACCGGCCCTCCAGGAACATTTTCCGACACCAGTATGTCTCATAGTTGGCAGATGTTGGCAGATTGAAGGTGCAGATTCAACTACAAACTGCTTGATAAGGATCCAGATAGGGTAGCGGCCACAACCTGACTAAAGCTTGAGCTCCGGAATTTTCATTCCGCTTCTCGCTTCGGAAGGGAGGAGGGGAGGGAAAGGCCGGGTAGGGATGGTATTCAGGTTCTCAGGCCGCATCCAAGGACTGAATGAACTCGCGACCCTAAGCAGAGGCAAGCTTTCCATGGCACGTGATGGGATGGAACAAGTATGTTCTGCATGTTGGGATCATTGAAACTAGCTCTCACTCATGTACTTTCGCGCTGTTCTGTCTGGGTTGCTGCACTCTCCTTCTCACTCGGAGAGTCCTAAGACACAGTCTTGAGGCAAACGCTCGCTGATTGAGTTTGCAAGATCATGCTGCATTCTTGCAACCTCAAATGGCGACTCTAGCAGCCCCCTCGGGGATTTTTCGGTCCTGTATCATCAATGAGTGCATGAAGCACTGGTCGTGACCACACTTGCAAAGAGGATCTGCCGGCAGAGAGATGGAGCCCAGACTTGTCTTTATGAAAGGCAGCACATAAACCCGAGAGATCCGAGTTGTGAGCTTTTTCATACCACAGAAACCCTTTTAGCGCAAGGGAGTGGAAATCAAGAGCCAAGGCCTGAGAAACAGAGTGTCATGGCATTATTCGGGCATGGCCGCTTAGAATCGTCTCAAAGCTGTCCGGTAGTCTGCGCCGGGCACCGGAGGTGGCAGCAGTTGATGTGAGAAGGGGAGTGCTTTTGCCATTAAACATCACAGTCCCTTTCGGGTTTGGGGATTAGCCGTTAGGGTCTAGGATTGCAGGGTTTGCTCTTCTCGCTCCCTGTATCACTCCAAGGAGGAATCTTCGTATTCCATTGGGGTCTTGGATTGTACCGATCTGGCTTCGAGGCTCCAGGTCATGCAGAGAGGTCCATGGCAGAACAAATTCATGTGACACCGATTTGCACCAATTCCAGGATGTCTAGGATGTTCAAGACCTTGAGGCTGCCAGCAGCAATCGTGATTATGGGTGGTTATCGCAAGCCGGAAGAAGAGGCACAAGAAAGTGCCAATGTCGTACCGAACACTTTCAGCAGTTGTTGGCGAGTAATACATATACATATACATACAAATAAATAGGATCCAGATAAGGTAGCGCCTACAACCTGACTAAAGCTTGAGCCCCGGAATTTTCATTCCGTTTCTGGCTTCATACGGGAGGAGGGGAGGGAAAGGCCGGGTAGGGATGGTATTCAGGTTCTCAGGCCGCATCCAAGGACTGAATGAACTCGCGACCCACTTAAGGTTTAATTAAGCAGGGCAAGCTGTCCATGGCACGTGACGGGATGGAACAAGTACGTCAGTATGTTCAGCATGTTGGGATCATTGAAACCAGGTCTCATGTGCTTTCACGCTGTCCTGTTTGGCTTGCGGTATTCTCCTTCTCATTCGGAGCGTCCTAAGACATAGTCTTGAGGCAACTGCTCCCTTTTTGAGTTTGCAACGTGATGCTGCGTTCTTGCAACCTCAAGGGGGGGCGACTCTAACAGCCCCTCGGAGATTTGATTTTTCGGTCCTGTATCATCGACAAGTGCATAAAGCACTGGTCGTGGCCGCACATGCAAAGAGGATCTGCCTGAAGAGAGATGGTGCCCAGACTTGTCTTTATGAAAGGCAGCACGCACGCAAACCCGAGAGATCCAATTTGCAAGCCGCAAGATTTGCCAATTTTCCGCGCCACAGAAACCCTTTGAGACGAAACGCGCAAGGGAGTGGACATCAAGAGCCACGGCCTGAGAAGCAGAGGGTCATGGCATTTTTGGGCATGGCCGCTCATAGTTGTCTCAAAGCTGTCTGGTAGCCTGCGCCGGGCACCGGAGGTGGCAGTAGCTGATGTGAGAAGGGGAGTGCATTATTCAGGGTCTCAGGCCACATCAAAGGACCTGAGCAGCTCAGTGGACATGAACCAAACTAGAATCCGTGATTTTGCGGCTTTCTTGGGGGAAACGGAATTGAATAGACGTGCTTAGTCTTTCTGATTGACTGCGCGACCAGGTCCAAGCAGGCAAGCTTTCCACAGCACATGATGAGATTGGACAATGATGTCCTGCATGTTGGGACCGTTGAAATGTGGCCTCAGGCTACTGGCCGGGTTGCTGCACTCTCCTTCTCATTCGGAGCGTCCTAAGACACCATTTTGAGCCAACCGCTCCCGTTTTGAATTTGCAACGTGTTGCTGCATTCTTGCAACCTCAAAGGGCGACTCTAGCAGCTCCCGCGGGGTTTTTTCGGTCCTGAAACATTGGCGAGTGCATGAAGCAAGTTTCTGCACGACCCTTGATTGGTTTTTGGGGTGGCTGGGGCTGCACTGCCCGTGGACCTTCTTGTCCGCTCATGGACGTCAGGCTCGTACAGTCAACACTCCGGTGGGCTTGAGCCTAAATGGACACCGTTTCCCACCTGGAGTGTGCACTTGCAAGGAGGATCTGCCAGCACAGAGATGGTGTTCGGACTTGTCGTTATGAAAGGCAGCGGCATCACGTAAAAAAAGAGATCCAACTTGCAAGCTATCCAAGCCTTGGAGACGAAACACGCAAGCGAGTGGAAATCAAGAGCCAATGAGAAAGCACAGTGTCATGGCAGTCATGTGCACTGCCGCTTATCATTGTCTCAATGCTGCTTGGTTGTCATCATGGCTATCGTGAAGTGCCCTGAAGAAAAGACATGTTTAGATCCATCGACTACTCATACTCTGCAGAAGCAACTTTCAATTGCCGGTTGCGGGCAGGGCTAGGAAATCGTATTTTTTGCAGCCGGACGTAAGTTAAGATGAACATTTGTCGGATTGTTCAAAGCGATGCCGGATTTCTTCTCATGGTGGGCAATGGTCCATTGTGGCTGCACATGGTGAAAGCCGTGCTTGCGCCCAGGCCGGTGCACTTTCGGGGGGCTTCCTAACATGGCAGCTGCTGAAAGTTTAGGCTTCAAGGGTTTAGGTGCAGGGGCTCGTGTGTCAGAGTTTTCGGGGTATCCAGAAAGTTATGGCTTTTTCGCCTTTGGGATTTACAGAATTTACAGCGCAACCTGCATAATTTGCAGTATACCTCCACTATGATCTTACGCGAAGGTCGTTCAAGGTTGCCAGACTCTGAGGCGAAGTTTGGGGGCTAGGCACGGATCGAACCCAGAACCCTAAGCCCACCCGAAAGCCCAAGCTCGAGTCCATGAGCCGTGCAGAAAATTTGCGTTGCTGTGTGGATGTTGAAAATTTGCGTTGCTATGTGTACTATGTGGATGTGGAATGATGTGGAATGCAGCAGTAGTTTTAAAAATTTTAGTATCTAAAGGTAAACGACGGGACTCTGGGTCAAGCAGTAGCCTCAGCAGCGAGTTGGAGTGTCCACTAGCGCCCAAAGCCACACACCCACCAGCTCCAGTGTACTGTCGTCGATCACTTCTGCTACTGCACTGGTTCGGCCAGCACTACAGCTATCGAAACTTCAAGAACTGGGTCAAGCAGCAGCTCCAGCAGCAGCGTGCGAGTGTCAACGCGGCTCCAGCTTGTTGCCTTCGACCGTGTCTCTATCGATTGCCGCTACCCAGCGCGAAAGGTGTCAGCCAGTAAAGCTTCTCCACGTCGGTTTTACAATCCTCTGCGCTCACGGCACTCCTGGCACTCATGCGGTTGATGATACAAATAATCCTGCATGACCCTACACTGTGGCAATTATAGCACATTCTTTATTATGGGTAATGCAGGATTTATATCATCAACAGTGGCGTGCTTGTGGGAAGAAGTGGCGATGCTCGGACCCCTAGTGCTGCGACCAAGAATTGCTCTTCCTGCCGGTGTATGCTTTGCAGGCATCAAGGAAGCGTTTGCTGATGTGTGCCTTAGCCTTCGTTCTTCGATTGTCTGATGTGTAAGATTGAAGCCGCAAAGCCGCACCCAAAACGGCCGAGGCAGCTCCGCGCTCAGCAACGCGCACTTCAGAAAAAAAAAGCTACTCGGGGATGGTGGAGCCTCCCACATGTACAGCTGCAATGAGATTTGCAAGAACCTTTGAAATCTAGCATCCATCTCTAGCACTATGCCTGTACCTTTGCAAGACAAGATTTGATGCTATCTTACACATCGCACAGGTGTTTTGCATTCAGGGCCGGTGCTCCAGCGTCACGCAAAAAAAACAGATGTGCGAGGAGTCCGGCTGAATGCAGACGCCGTGCAGGCCAGGTCTTCAGCGCGGAGGCCGAGGTCGGATGCCAGAGACGCTACGTCACTACACTCTTAGCAGGTATTTTCTTTTGAAGTGTGGAAGCCGTACCGCCATCGTCTCCATCGACTCACGCAGTGCAAGCCAGGAGAATACAGCAAAAAAGTGGGCCAGTTGGTCAGACGAACGAGACTTGTCCGAGCGTGTGTGCATTCGTCATGACTTCAGCATATGCGAGATTATACGAACTTGCACTTCACACACTTCTCTGTCACATGAAGACCCGGGCTTTCCACCCTGAACGAGATTCTGAGCCGCTTGTGCCGGGTGTCAAGAGTGCAGACTATAGAGCCCAACGTGGAACCAAAGTTCAGCATGAGCAGATCTTGAGTCCCGAGTCTCCTCGGCGGTTGTTAAAAGTATGATTACAGTATGATCCCTTGTTGGGTATCCTAAATATCAGCTGCCGTATTATATGAAGGACCCAAAAAGGGACCGTACATTCGTCATCCAATGTCCTAGAGCCTGGAGCAAACGGAAGTTAACTTGGGGGAAAGATAGCCGAGATCCCGGCTTAGCCGGGAGTGTGACATGTGAGCCTCGGATTTCTTCTGCAAGCATGGGCTGCTTCATGCTGCTGCGCCACGCAACATTGCTGTCTCAAGTTTTTATTGTGAAGACGAATGCCCGAAATTCTCTGAGCCTTGTGGCCCGGCATGTGGAGGCGCAATGGGCAAGGGAGGGTTTCTGCTTTTGCCGGCAGACTCCCAGGTAGGACATGGTAGGACGACGCCCAAACTCCTTACAAGCAGCTTATTGACCGCGGTCTTACAAGCTCCACTTCTGCTTTGTGCTATACCCAAGAACTTCTTGCCGGCTCCTTGCAAGCTTCTGACAATTCCCTGTACAGGGAAGCTCTTGTACCCCACTGTAAGTTTATATGGTAGTAGCTGGAGCAAGGGCAAGGTGGCCCAGGCCTTTGACGTTGCCTTCGTGTGCTATCAAACCAGTTGTGGTTTCCACGTACATGTGCGAAGGCGTAGCGGCGTAGCGCTTCGGGACAAGAGCGTCTGCAACAGGATACTGCTTGTGAGTCAACGTATGCTGACGTATGCTCACACCTCTCTGACGGGAGTCTCATCGCTAGGTTCAAGAGGAGCAAGCAGCAAGTCGTGCAAGACATACAGCCACCTGTCGCTTGTGCCCGTCGTCTGATGGCCGGGGTGGAGATGCTTACTGCCTCCTTCGTCCGTGTTACTGTACCACTGCAGTTATGTGCGCCGAGTCTTTGTGCCAGTGGAGGCTTTGGCTGTTCCTCATTCTGGCCCGGCAGGTCGAGGCCGCTGTGTAGCAGGTGAAGCGTGGCTTGTGCGCTCAAACACACCGTCGTGCAAGGCCAAGAGCTTCTCGCTATCCAACCGTGCCAAGAAATTCAGCAGAATGTCGCACATGCGCTGCGCAGGCCAGATACTGGCTTGAGCTCAGCCCGAGTGGCACGGCGCCATCGCGGTATCGCGGCACCACGGTGTGGAGTCCGGAGGCGGACGGATTCTACACGTTCGGTGGGCTGTATGCTGGCCCGGGCCCTGAGAGCAGGGGCAGCACGACAGCAAGCTGCGAAGCTGCGTTGCGGTGTGCATGGGGGGGATCACTGAGGGGGCAATGACCGAACAAACGAGTTGTGGTTCTACGGGCGTCAGGCCAGCGTGAGCTTAAGTGACTCATGGCTCATGCAATGCAAGATTCAAGTGCTAAAACACCTCTCGACCCCATAACAGACATGGTGTAGGAGGCGCTTTTTTCGTTGAAGATGTTGAAGCGCTGGCTATATAGTAGCCAGGCAAACCCCAGCCACAGTCCGTTCTCCTTGCGCCACCTTGCATGTCCCAATTGGAACTGCAGGCAAGTCTGGCACGAAGAGATGCGCAGCATCAGACATGTCTCGCAGGCGAACAGCTGGGAACAGCTCAGCCCGAGTGGCACGGTGCCGTCCTCACGCAATTCCCACACTGCTGTGTGGAGTTCGGCTGCGAACGGCTTCTACGTGTTCGGTGGGTACAATGGCGCGGGCCCTGAGAGCACGTCAGCGGCAGCGCGTCAGCAGGCTGTGATGCGGTGTGCGGGGCGGGGGGTTCACCGAGGCGTCTTTCTCAACGACTTGTGGTTCTATGCGCGTCAGGCCGGCGAGGGATAATCGCGAGCTTGAGTGGCTTTTCTCGTTGAAGCACCGGCTATATAGTAGCCAGGCAAAGCCCAGCCACAGGGCGTTCTCCTTGCGCCACCTTCCATGTCCCAATTGGAACTGCAGGAAACTTTCCACGAAGAGATGCACAGCATCAGACATGTCTCGCAGGCGAACAGCTGGGAACAGCTCAGCCCGAGTGGCACGGCGCCATCCATTCGGTATGAGCCCAGGGCGGTGTGGAGCCCGGCGGCCGACGGATTCTACACGTTCGGTGGCTTTGATGCCGGCGTCGGCCGAGTCCTGAGAGCACGTCAGCACGTCAGCAGGCTGCGATGCGGTGTGGCCGGGGTTACTGACGAGGATATCGCAACGACGTATGGTTCTACGACCGTCAGGCCAGCGAGGGCCATCGCGAGCTTAAGTGGCTCATGGCTCATGCACAAGATTCGAGTGCTAAAACACCTCTCGACCCCGTAAGTAGACGTACAATGCTGAGGAGGTGCTTTTTTCGTTGAAGACGTTGAAGCACCGGCTATATAGTAGCCAGGCAAACCCCAGCCACAGGGCTTTCTCCTTGCGCCACCTTCCATGTCCCAATTGGAACTGCAGGCAATTTTCCGCGAAGAGATGCGCAGCATCAGACATGTCTCGCAGGCGAACAGCTGGCAGGAGCTGAGCCCGAGCGGCACGGCGCCGGCCGCACGGTTTGTCCACGCCACGGTGTGGAGTCCGGAGGCGGACGGATTCTACGTGTTCGGCGGGAGTCCTGATGGCCCGGGCCCTGAGAGGGGCAGCGCGTAGGCTGTGAGGCGGTGTGCGAGGGGGATCACTGAGGCATTGTCGCTTTCAACGACTTGTGGTTCTACGGGCGTCAGGCCAGCGAGGGCCATCGCGAGCTTTTGGCTCGTCATGGCTCATGCAATGCAAGATTCGAGTGCTAAACACTTCTCGATCCAGTAACCGACATGGTGTGGACGTACAAGCTGGTAACCAGGCAAAGCCCAGCCACAGGGGGGCGCCACGTCTACGGTGCACGCGTGGATTGCGTCTAAGGTGCACGCCCATATTTTTTCTAAGTTGCACGTGGGCGCGGGCGCATGCGCTCTGTCCGACAGCTTTCTTGACTCCGAATGCATATAGACATATAGACTTGTAAGCAAGTATCATTATAAACCCTAATTGCACCCTAAATCAAAGAGACTGGTACGCCGTGGCGGCGTGTATTTTCGAGGAATCCTGTGTTTTTTTTCGAGTTTTGGTACATGGATTTATTAGTACGCAGGGTTCCTCGTAAATACACACTGTCACGGTCTTCAACAAACTGACGTTCCGGCAAATGAAGATTGATACACACAATTTTGCAACAGACATTTGGTTTTGTGTTA